ATTTCGTTACCAGATAAAATCGCGGTAATTCACCATTTTTTGGAAGACCTGTTTTTTTTTTGAGATGGTATTCTTAGGCAGAGATTAAAAATTCTTAAGCGTAAATAATCGTAGAAAATGTAGTTCTTGTATCAACGTCATGTAATCGCCATTTCAGTGCCAGGATAGCGAAGGATACGTCAGTGCATAGGAAAGAATAATGCTCCATTGTCTTACTAAACAGCTGATATATTAATTATCTTTCATCTTAATTGAAAGGAAATTTCTTGACGTCTCGTTTTGCTAGAGATAAAAATAAACATACGAAGTGCACGTTACATACCCCGCCCCTGCCCCCCCCCAAAAGAATCAAAAGCATCGTCGAACATTATTTTGAAAAATTCAAACAGTCGGCCTTCAAGGCGACATTGTTTCACGGACAACAATGATCGGACTTACATTGTTGACAAAAACAGGACAGCGGTCCTTTATTTCTTGTAACAAATATATGCCATTTAATTTTAAATGAAAGATAAGAATATATTCTGTCGCGTTCACGTTAGAAACGTAAAATAGATCCATCTTATTTTTGACGTAAATACGTCTATACGGAAGGGTCGTTCGGCAAAAAACATTGTGACGAAGATGTGTAAGATCCATACCAACAATTTGTAAATATGGACCGACAATGGTCAGATTTTATATGAACTCCTGCGTTCATAACAATGCTTTACTCCTTTACCTAAGAAAATAACTTTTACGTCATCTGTTTACACTGCATTGTTGTGTTTCATTATTGAAGTCAACAATACGCTTTCGTTATAGCGGAAAGAGCTGAGCTGTGAGTCGTTTGTAGAAGACGTGCGTCGTAGATTAGATAATTTTGTGCTCTTAAAATCCTTTTAGAATATCACAATTTCTTATCTTGTATAAGAATCATTAAGAAATCTGTGAAACTGCCCTCCACTCTCTCCATTTCAGTTTTGATTAAACTGATCATTGCGGGTGGACGTCGTGGTCTTCCAATTAAACAAAGTCTGAGGTAAAGGATTCAAAGGCGAATCTCACTTCACGCTATTTCTGCGTCTGCGCATTGCGTCATACTACGTAGAGATAACAAGATGGACGACATTGAAACTAAAAGATTCCGTAATGCAGAAATATATGACACAGTACAGAAAACGTAAAAAAACTTAGAAATATTAAATTATGAACCTAAAGTTCCCAAAAAAAATACCAAAAACTAATCCTGAACGTATGAGGGTAATATAGAAATCGCAAGAAACAATTATTGCAAGTTATCAAGCTAATATATAAACTTCCTTTCATTGTATTTATTGCCTAAATATAATTTAAATACAGAGACGTATTTACGTCAGATTCTCCACTGTCATTCTTTTACTTTGTCCGGAGATAGGGATTAGTTCTATCCATTGAGCCAAAAATAGCAGGTACCTGAAGACGGAGATAGAGCCCTAACTCCGAAACATCGCCTTCTATTTTATTATTTTACTAGACGATGTAAATTATCCAAGGAACTTTTTATTCAAACAATTTCTAATACTTTGTTTACATAACTTCAGTACAATATAAACGTTTGATTTAACACTTCGTCAATGCTTTACGAGTTAAATAGGAAACAAGTATCATAACAAAGATATACATAGTATTCTAACATAAACTTATGTGGGTATAGCACTGGGTGACTTTTCTGGGAGTCAGGAATAAATCAAAAATGTTAACATTGAAATTAATGGGAATTTAATTTTATACTTACGAATTTTCCCACTACGGGCGGTTTTAATCGAATTAATTACGTTCGTAAATCGAGGGATGGGTGAATCATCTCTGTTGATGGATCACAAGCGAAACGAGGCTAACGGAATTGTACGTGCTTGAAATTCTGGCATATGACAACATTTTGTACCATTCTGTTTACCTGTTAGATTATACCTAATTACGATTTACATTATACCGTCACAACACAAATGAAATGTCCTTGAAAACGCGTTGTGGGTCGACTCGTAGTGACCAACAAAAAAACCACGCGCGTTTAGACTCTCACTTGTCAACGACGATGCGACATAAGGCTATCCGGCATGCGTCGAACCTAAGAACTACATGACTGCCCTATTAGAAGCTCTAGTGGACTCGTCCAACAAACGTGCGCGCACGCGCACAATCTAATAAAAATGATTAGCTTATAAATGCTTTAAAAATGTATGGAAAAAATTCCATTGTTTAGGGACGAAAACAACAGTTCCAAATTGCATTCATGAACCTAGCCATAATTATATGTAGCACCTGCTTCGACAAACAGCAAATCTATATTTTATATTTACGAGTTTCATATGATTCTCAGTATAAACAGTGATTGTTTCATTAAATATATTAACCAGCCGATCTTTCTGATGGTGAAGTGTTGTATTTTTTTTCTGGGTACGAACTGCATTCTTAAATATTACTTACAATAACTTCGGCTTCAAAGAGTTACAATTTGAGATCGGCTGCTACCGTCCATTTCGTAAAATTTAACGCCAGTCAGTTACGTAAATCGGCCTACACGTTAAAATGGTCTTTTCCTGTTCTGTATGGACGTGGAAATTCGTAACTTACATTAAGGCAAGAAAAGAAACTGAGGGTGTCTTGAGACCAGTGTGCCAACTACTAATGAGAGATTACATCTAAGAGTTATAAATTGACAAAATTGGTAACTATGAATTTGATAGGATAGAAGCTAGTGGCTAATCCATGTGCACACGAAAATAAACCTTCGTATTCCAAAAAATCGATAAACTTCTCTACTAAATAATGGTCTCTCAACTTTTCATAAAGGACTCTAATCTATGGACTTAGTTGTCAGTTATTCTTAATTAAACTCCAACGTGGATTTCCAAAGCGCATTTTGAAATACATTTGGCCATGGATGTTTGTAGGAAGAAGGCACATTTTACTATTTTGCCAATAGGTGTCCGGAAATATTTTTATTTCATGAACAATTAGTCTGTTATAGAAATTCTAGACAGGTACAGAAACTATTTTGCATCGCGTACAATAATATAGGCACATTCTCCAATCAAGCAAAACAGAAGACATAATTAGGAAAATGGGATGGCATGTTCCATGTAAAGAATTACTTGGTTCGTGTACTCACCAGTCATGTAGAAATAGTGATAACACCTCGTCTTCTTCTTTCACAGTTTGAACTAACCTCGAAAACGTGATCAGAATTCTACTAAATTAACAAGCTGTTTAAATAATATAACTATGAAGCCATTTATCACGGAAGAACACGTAATTTAGTTTGTATCAGTTCCTAGCACGTTCAACTGACAACTCAGCGTCCTCGTTTTAAAACTTGTCGTGTTCACCTGCTGGTTGTTCCCACAACCATCCCCCGAACAGCTCTGTCACGCACTGCATCCGATTACCTGTACCACAGATAATCTCATGCTCAAACCAAAGTAAAACAGGAAGTCGCTCTCAAGAAGGAAGTGTATAAACTGTGTGAACTTCAAGTAACTTATAGTACTCTCTGGTGTATATTTAACGTCGTAATTTCCAACTTGAATTATTTTAATTTTTTAAAATGTAATAATTTCGATATTTATAATTACATTAAACAGACCTTCGAATGTTAGCATTAGGTTAATTAATTTAATTTACGAAATACGTAAAACACAAATTCTTTTCCATGTTCAATCGGAATTAGTTTTTTAGGTTAGACCTAACATATATACGTTCTAAAAAATGGCACGTTTCGAAGGCGTCGCAATACCTGTTACAACACATCTGTGGAATGCATGGTTATAGAAGGGACACACTTTCCAGTATTGAAGAAAACTGACATAATATATAAAGATCGGTTCCAACACGTTTATTTTTCTGTCATTACTTGTAGTAAATATTACACCACCATATTCATTGTTCTTGACTGGGGAGGAAACTAATTTATTTCGTGTTAATAACGAAGTTGTAATTAAGAAGAGAGCCATCTTAGTACTCAGCACTGTGAGAACCTCAATTCTTATTTACAGTTATAATTGTTTTCTAACCTTCATTATTTCTAATGTTCACGTGGTCAAGATGTTTATTAAGGTCTTCTTGTCTTCATACAATCTAAATGGATGGTTTAATTATCTACTGTACTTACTGGGTGGATTTATTTGTATCACACAATTACTTTATATGAAACCTTTCTTCATAATGTGAGAAATCTTACGAATCATAGTTATAAAATATGTATTCTAATTTTATGACTTATTGCAAACACTATTTTAATGTCACCAAGTTATGAATCTGCGTAGTCTTGTAGAAGTTCACTGATGCAACCCAGAAGACGGTAATATCAAATAGAAACAACAATTCATGGAATAATAAGTTTCTGAAGGCATAAATGCACACACAAAGGTTAACTATATAATTTAAAATAATTAATTGTTTAAATGCAAACAACTTATTTACATCTTTCTCCCAGGACATTACACACAAAGATGAGCAAAGACGACTTGTCTTCTGGGTTGTTGCGCCATGTAATCTGGTAGAAGTTTAGACATTTGAGCGTGATCATCGCCCTGATGATGGAGCCAGCAAGGACCTCTGAAACGTCAGTAAATTTCTACCAGACTACACGGTGCAACAATCCAGAAGACAGTCGTCTTCGAACTCACTGCTTTGGGAACCTCAAATCCTAACACACAAATTGTTCACCTGTTTATCCTGGACATGGCGGGGAACCGAAGCGACAGTCCA